CCTCAAAAAAACCCATCGCTGTGTGAATTCATCGTTGTATGAAGCAATCGTTGTGCGAGGCACCACTGTATATCATGTAATATGGGAAGAAAGGATGCAATATGTGTTGTATGGAAACAATTTTTCATCTTGGTTGGAGGAGACTCTTGAATTTGGGGCATATGTCTGTATCACTCTTACAAAAGCAGAATTTTGCTATTGGCATTTCACCAGTAACCTGGGTGGATAAAAATCAATGATTTTTTTTGAAATAAAATTGATTTAAATCATGATTTAAATAAAAAATGCTTTTTGATTTAATTTGTATCATAAATCCAATTTTAGATTTAAATTTGATTTAAAACAAATCCTCCCTGCCAATAGCATAAGAAATATTTTACTATGCAGTTAAACTTCTGTTTGTTTGTTTATTTATTTATTCGATTTATACCCCACCTCCCTAGACAGCGTCTACTCGGGGCGGCTTACAAAATTATAAAATATCATTAAATAACAATAAAAACATCACAATAAAAAATAAACAACATTCATAATTGTAAAAACATTTGAACAATAATATAGCGTGATCAAGATGGGGGATTAAAAAAAAAATAGAATTCAAGAATTGACAGGAGGGAAAGCCTGCCTGAAGAGCCAAGTTTTTAAATGGCTCTTAAAAACACCCAGCAAGGGAGCCAGGCAGATATCTGATGGAAGGCCGTTCCATAGTCGAGTTCTCTGTTCTAGTTCTCTTACAGAACCTTCATCATTCTTTTTAGTTTACTGTGTAATATGTTTCCAAGGAGGGTGTTTTGTTGTGATCTCTGCTATAGTGCTAATATTTTTGGGAAGCTGAGCTATTGGGTCTTAAAGGAAATATACCTAATTGCATTGTTTGTCTATTTAATTATTGAAATTCCTTGATTAGCATTTTATTTTTATTTTTTTGTCCAGTCCAGTAGATATACCTTACCGAAGCATTTCTCAGGCGGATTCTCCTCTCAGCACAAATGGAGATGTCAGTGTTATTAAGGAGGAACCAGTTGATGACTATGATTATGAGCCAAATAAGGTTACGGACGGTATAAGTGTGAAGCAGGAGGATGTTGATAATGTGACGGAAGAATATTCTAGTAGTGGTGATTCCATTCTGGAGCAGAAGTTGAAGAAACACAAGAAAAAGGAGGAAAAAGAAACTGAAATCACATCCCGGAAACGACTACAGACCAGCCAGCTGGGTGTGGCTAAAGCAAAAATGTTAAAATCAGACACTAGGAAGATGCCTGTAGTGTATTTAGAACCTTGTGCAGTCACCAGGAATACAGTAACAGTCTCAGGAGTTTCACAGCCAATGTTGTCATCTTCTAAGAGTGAGAAATCTTCAAGTCACTCAATGGATTCTTTTCCTAATAGCAGTATATGTAGCTCATTGGCAAAACCAGAAACAGATGAGAGACCAAATGGAAACCAGACATCTGAGAGTAACATGTTACAAAAAAATTCTTCAAAGAAAGCACAGCAGGAAAATACTGAAACAAGTAGCAGTATTGCCACAACAAATAGATTTTCTAGCTGCAATCTTAAAAGCATTACATGCAGTGCCCCTTTCCCATCAAAAGCTGTGTCTGGGGGGGAAAAGACAAGTGCACTAAAAAAGCATATTTCCCATAAGAGTGTTATTGGTGTCCAACATGTTGAGTTGTCTGGCCCACGTAAAAGAGGAAGACCACGGAAAATAAAGCACCCAGGAGTTGGAAGGCCACCTAAATATGCTGGAAAGCCAGTTGTAACACGTACTTATGCCTCGCTGTGTCTGGACAGTACCAGTTTGGATATTAAGCCTGACCTTGTGGATGTGGATGGAGTCCTCTTCGTATCCTTTGCATCCAAAGTAAGCCTATGTTTGAATCAAATTTAGAGTTATCAAGAGAATGGGATACTTTATGAGCTGTGTGTAAGTTTTAAACATAAAATGTGTTATTTGGCACTGAACTATAGGAGAATTCAGTGTTTGCTAAACCTTGACAAGATTGGTCTTCTGTTTTATAACAGGCTTAATTATTGATGTGTTCTAATAGTTGTGGCCCTTAAGTGAAGCCGCATTTGGGAATTACTCAAGTTGTAAAACTCAACAGGTGAGGAGAGATGACTCTGCACTGATTGGTCCTATTCCCCGCTTGGCGTGTGTACCAGGTAGCTTTGCTTCAGGGATCCAGTTTCACAGTGAGAAAGATTAAACTGGGAAGTCTTCACGAATATCTCTCTGTGTAGAGGCTTTCATATAATTCACTGCTCTGTGCAACTGGGATTCCAAGTCATGGAAGCCTCTGCACATTTGGCTATATGTGAGAAAGGTTCTCCAGGGTAGAGCTCCTTGGCAATGGAACTGTGTGATGGTCTTGATGTAAGGGATGGAGAAGCTTGGTATGGCCCTTGCCCTCCTTTCATACCATTTTAGTAATGTCTGAGTACGCTTCAAGGGTTGTGTTCTAGTCTTTATCTAGGTCAGTTTGTTTGAATTCCTGCCTATATGTAGTTTCCTTAGGCATTTTGATTGACTTCAATATCAGCCTAGAATACTGTTTTATCAAATATTTACATTTTAACCCTTTTTGCATGCAGGAAGCTCTTGATATCCACACTGTTGATAGATGTGAAGAAAAAGAATCGCAGAATACACAGACTCCTTCAGTGGTTGTGGGTGATCGATGTAGTGATCAAGGTAACAGTGAGATTTATGTTAGTTAGGTGACGTTTTTCAGAATGTTGATTGTGCAGAGGTTGTGTGTGTGATAGCTTCAGAAGTGGTAAAGAGAGGACATTTAACCCTCCTTTTCTGAGGAAGTAGACTTGTCACATTAAAATATAGTGGTTAGTCTTTAAGGTGCCTTTTTATCTGTGGCTGTTTTGGCTAGTGAAGGACCAAACCAAATGAAATGTGTAGCTTTAGAAATATCAATTATATAAATTGGCTTGACAGATGATTAGTAGAATAAGATTCTGAGTACCCCACTCCAGTCTTAAAACAGGTAAAGGAATGGGAAAAAGGCCATTAGTTGCTCCAAAGCTTTTAACCACACACACTGCTCAAGAGATTCACAAATGATTTAAGGAAAACAGGGTGTATAAAAATCAATATTTCTAAAAATCAAAATGATTTAAATCTCAATTTAATTTTTTAAAACAAATATTCAAAAAGTCATTTTTTTAAATTTAAATTGTGATTTAAATCAAAATCGGTCCTGAGGCAAAAAGGAGCAAAATATGCTTATCTAACTCCTCTGTGAGGTAGCTAGCACATCTTGAAACCCAAAGGAGATTTGCAAGCATGCCAAACACCTCAGCTATGCACTACCACTGTCTTTGGGTTTTTTCTTAATGTAGAGTCCCAGCACAGTTCAGGTGTGTCCTGCTGTTCTATTGGCTTTCTATTATTTGCCAAAATGTTGTTGCCATTAGTGTAGACGTGTATGGGCAGAAGTTCCTGGGGAGTTAAGCTGAGTCTTTTCTGTCCATAGAAACTAATGGGAAGCTGCTATTCCACCTTCTGCCACTAGAGGGGGATATTTTACTTTTTTTCCCTTAGGTCAAGAAAAGTTCAGGAAAGGAGGGGGGAAGGCAGGGAACAGTTTTAAAAGCTCTTTTGAAATCTTTTTTTTCAACGAAGCCAATTTTAAAGCATGTTTTAAAGCATGTTGTACTGATTTTTTCAGCACAAAGACACACAAGCAGTCTTTTTAGGTGCTGAGCAAGCCTCTCCAAGCCTCTTCAGAGCCAGCCGATCAGCTGATAGGCGGGGAGAGGAGGGTGCAGGAGAGGGGAAAGCACAAAATGGCTGCCAGGCTCCCTTCTGGCGTGGGCTTTTAGCTGTTTCCTGCTCTTTTTCCTGCTGTTTGGGGGCTACCAAGGCCTGGTAAGTGGCTTTCTTTTATTTATTTTAAAGTTTCTGACCCCTTTTCCCCTCCAGAAGCCTCTAAGGGGAGGGAGGGGGCACTTTTTTTCTGTTCGTAACTCGAGGGAAGTTCGTATGTCGAGTCCTTATTTCCCCTATAGGGCGGGTTCATAAGTTGAATTGTTTGCAAGTAGGGTAGTTCGTAAGTCGAGACCTCACTGTATCATTCTATGTGTTCTTCAGTGGATTGTACAATCTAACATGTGGCAAGTGTTTGTTCAACATCACTCACAGAAATGGTTGCAGGATATGGTTTCCACAATTAAGTGGATTCCATAATTGCTTGCACAAGTTCTAATTATGCCAGCATAGTTATGTAATAAGATTTTGGCCATTAGTTCTTTTAAAGATTTTTTCCCCAATTGAAAACTGATTGATTGATGTAAGTATTTTAAAAAGAGACTAAAATAAATTTTATAAAAAATTTATGTTAGTATCTTGGATGTTTGACAGGATTGTAAAGAGGGCACAAAGATCTTAGAAGAAGGAACACTTAGTTGAAAATCACAGAAATGAGGAATATTTTAAGGGCAAATCACCCATTTATTCCTGTTCTGTACAGACCTTCACATTCTGACTGTGATTTGCGGGAAGAACCATAAAATAATACAGGAAACAATAAATGCTACCCTGTTTCCTTGAAAATAAGACCTAACATGAAAATAAGCCCTAGTATGATTTTTCAGGATGCTCGTACAGTAATATAAGTCCTACCCCCAAATAAGCCCCAGTTAAGAGAAACCCCGCCCTCCACCATTGTGCAGCAACCAGAAGAAGATGACATGACTACATTTGAATAAATGTATATTGTTGTACATGAAAAAATGAAACATCCCTGAAAATAAGCCCCCAATGTGGTTTTCTGGAGCAAAAATTAATATAAGACCCTGTCTTATTTTTGAGGAAACACACTAAGTTGTCTGTGTTTTAATCCAAACCCTTTATAATATTTTTTGACCAGATGATTCTGTATTACTCCATAGTCAGAAAAGGGCAGTTCAGAGTTAAGTTCTTATTTTCAGAAAAAAAAACAATTCAAAAATAAGCTCTTATTTTTAAAGTTTAATTTGGGAAACTTTTAGGTGCTATGTCATCATCAGACATTGTTGATCTTGGCTTGAAGCAAAATTGTATGTAATATTTTTTTCAGCGTCTTATGGCAGTAGAGCAGTGGTTCCCAACCTTGGGTCCCCAGATGTTTTTGGACTGCAACTCCCAAAAATCCTGGCCAGTACAGCTATAGTGGTGAAGGCCTCTGATAGTTTTAGGCCAAGAACATCTGGGGACCCAAAGTTGGGAACTATTGCGCTAGATTCATTCTCCTAGAGTGTCTAACACACCACCCTAAAGAACACATGCTCAATCTTTCCTTATGTTAATTTAAACGAAAGAAATACAGTGTTCTGAACTAATTTCCTAGCTCATAGGAAATGTAGGTCTTTGTGTCTTTTTCTTTGTAGCAGTTCTGAGCTTAGGAAATGAGTTCAGAAATAATACCTGCCATTGCTCACTTGTTGAGAAATTACAGCTTTTCATTTTAGTTCATCCTTCTTTTGGAAGCTGAAGTATGAAAGCATGCAGTATCTTCAACAGTAGCCCCACTCTGTGTATTGGAATTCAAATAAGAAAGGTTAGTTTTGAGTGAATTGAAAATGCTAAAGAAACTAAGGGTTTCTAAAACATTTTTTGGCAGAGATTATAAAGATACAAAAGCTTGAAAAAGAATTGTTGGAAGATTTGAAGTCCTTTAAGTACAAGCAAGTCATACATCCCAGTCTTCAAGAAGGTAGGTATAAGTTCCATAAAGTAGCAGTGTTTCTGTGCACCTACTGTTCCTTGCCATGAACTGCACACTTGGGAAATGTCAAGATCCCATGCTGATTGTTCTTTTTTGAAAATCAAACATATCAGATCTGGTGGCAAACTTCTTTTTGACACGTTCTTAGAAATACTACTCCTGAATTGCATGGTGTATATCTCCTCATAAGTCTTACATTCTTAACACCAAGTCATTTGTTTTCAGCAGTCTGGTCTTCAAAACTATCAGTATGTAATCTTGATAGAAACAGAATTTTTAAAAAATTCTTTATACCCCTCCTTTTTTGCACTGAGTTCATAGAGAGTAAGCATTCAATTAGAACCACACAAAAAACAACAATAACCCACAATTCATAAATGTTCTTAATAAGGGGAAAGCAATGACCAGTATTCTATTTGTCTGCTTGTGCGGACAAACATCCCTTGTACTTGTGCTTTTTCTGAATCATTGCTTGTATGCCTCCATAGTACAGCTGCTTTTAATTTGGCTACGTGGATCATGCCTGGCTTCAGGTGTTGTTTGGGCCAAAACGTTTGTTTAAGGAATAAGAAGAGTCAAGGTGGATCAGGCCAAGGGGCCATCTCATCCAGTTTCCTGTATCCCACCAGATAGCTCTGGGAGCACATGAGACAACTAGATACCTGTCTGTTATTACCCTTCCCCTGCATCTGGCATTTTGAAATACCTTCCTTTTAAGCCTAGAGATTATACATCCCCATCATGGCTTGTAACCTGCAATGGACTTTTCCTCCAAGAATCTGTCCAATCCCCTTTCAAAGGCATCTAGGCCAGATGCCATCACCACATCCTGTGGCAAGGAGTTCCACAGACAGACACATGCTGGGTAAAGAAATATTTTCTTTTGTCTGTTTTCATTCTCCCAACACTCTATTTGAGTGGATGTCCCCTGGTTCTAGTATTGCGTGAGAGGGAAAAGAGCTTCCCTCTATCCACTTTATCCATCCCCTACATAATTGTATACGTCCTAGTCATGTACCCCCCCTAGTTTGTGTGTGTGTGTTACCTGTCTTTCACCTTAAAGAAGACTCAAGGTGGCTTACAACAAAAGACAATACAGTGGTGCCTCGCATAGAGAGGTTAATCCGTTCCGGATTAACCCTCGCTATGTGAAAACATCACTGAACGGATCAAGAAAACCCATCGTTTAATGGGCCGAAAACTCACCGTTCAGCGATGTTTTCCTATGGCCGGCAGCCATTTTCGCGCCCTCCCCTCGCTTACCGAGGGCGCGAAAACGCTGCGCGCGGGATCGAAAAAAAAACCTCGCTATGCAGATTCGTCGTTCTACGGTGCGCTCGTTAAGCGAGGCACCACTGTATTTAAGTAAGTAACAATGAGTATGCAATACTAAAAGGAAACAAAACAAAACAAAAAAACAAAACAAAACAAAAAAAGCAACACAAAAATACGCTCAGTGCAGTAAGGTACAACAGTCTGATTGTTGTAGGTTTTTCGGGCTGTTTGGCCATGTTCTAGAAGTTTTTCTTCCTAATGTTTCTCCAGTCTCTGTGGCCGGCATCTTCAGAGGACAGGAGTTGCAACACTGTCTGTGTTCTGGTGTAGTGTGTGGGATAGTTGAATATTTGTAGCTGTGGGATCAGCTTTTTGTACTTTTTCAGGAGATTGGGAGATTATGGTGGTCAGGGTGCTTTTTGTTATGGGTGTATTGTGATAAGGGCAGAGATGATCTGTCAGTGAGATTGAGGGTTTTTAAAAGTTAGCTAGTGTTTTGTATGCAGTGATCACCAGTCCTTGTGGCTGGGTAGAGTTCGTTGATCTTTTTGCAGGCTGTATTTTTCAGTGCTGGGAGCCAGGCTTTGTTGAGTTTTAGACTTCTTTTTTGTTGGCGCTGTGCTGATGTTTATGGATTTCAGTGGCTTCCCTGTGTAGTCTAACACAGTGGTTCCCAAACTTTTCCCAACCGTGGACCGGGGGGGGAGTGGCATGCTCGGGGGGGCCTGCTCACAGGATCAGAACACGCTCGCACGCCTGCGTAGAACAGCGCTTGCGGGGGCTGCTGTGCATGCATGCGCACGGCAGCATTTATAGGAGAGAACAGTCCTGGCTAGACTGCGGACCACTGCTGGGTAGCAGACTGGGAGTTTGAGACCTCTAGTGCAACATAATGATTGCTGGTGTTGTCAAGTAATTAAGTACTAGACAGGTACTTAAGTACTGGACAACACCAGTTGTCTAGCAAGTACGGGACAACACTGGTTGTCCAGCAAGTATTGGACAAGTATTTAAGTACTGGACAACACTCCAGCAAATCGTTAGACTACACAGGGAAGCCATTGAAATCCACAAACATCAGCAAAGCTTCAACAAAAAGGAAGAACTTCTAAAACTCAACAAAGCCTGGCTCCCAGCACTGAAAAATACAGCCTGCGAAAGGTCAACAAACAAACTCTACCCAGCCATAAGGATTGGTGATCACTGCACACAAAAGACTAGCTAACAATACCCATCAATCAGAGTGAGATTTTACCCTTATCACAACAATACACTCATGGCAAAGACACCCTGATCATTATAATCACCCAATCCCCTTAAAAAAGTACAAAAAGCTGATCACACAGCTACAAATACTCAACTATCCCACACACTACACCAGAACACAGACAGTGTTCTAACTCCTGTCCTCTGAAGATGCCAGCCACAGAGACTGGCAAAATGTTAGGAAGAAAAACCTCCAGAACATGGCCAAACAGCCTGAAAAACCTACAACAACCATCAGTTCTTCAATCAGGAAAAGCTTAGTGAAGAGGGAGCAGAATCATGTTTGTCACCTCCGCACAACCCGGTGGTCCCCAGAGCCAAGGATTAACCACACATTCTCCAAGATGCAGCTGTGCTATCGGAACTCATCTGTGTGGGTGATCAGGGAAGCCCGTGCTGCTACCAGTTACTAAATGCTGAATGAGGCAGAGGAGGGAACCATGCTCCTACCAGTGAGTAGGTGATTCCCCCAGAGGAGGTGGGGGAGAGAAGTGTGTGGTGCTCACAAAACATCTTTGCAGGTGCTGCTCTGAACATGGCAGAATGTTAGAGTACGTCATGATTAGAGTAACGTCATGATTAGAGAAGGGTGACCCTGCCAGCAGCACTGAAGAGGAAGCCAAACAAGAGGAGGGTTAAAAGAGTTATGGTAGGAGAAAGAGGGGAGGGGGAAAATAAAGGCAGGGCGAGGGGCTAGCTGGCTGGCGGGGTCCGGAGCTCCAAAATTGCCTCCCTCCCCCCCAACCTTGTGCTTTGTTAGCCTCACCTGGGCGCATGCTGGAGGGGGGGAAAGTGCAAATATTGCAGAGGCGCAAGCAATTTCCTGCAAAAAGCTAAATTCCCTGCAATTGGGAACTTCGGAGCCAAGGAGCAAGTTCCTGGTGACATGCATCTCCTTCCTCCCTGGCTGCCCAGCCCCTTTGCAAGCGAGGGAAGTGGGAAAGGAGAGGAAGAAATTTTAAGTATCTCTCATGAGCTTGAAGGATCCTGGTAAGTCCCTGGTGGAGGGCATGGTTTTACTTAACTAGGGCTCATCTTGAAAAATCATACTAGGGCTTATTTTCAGGGTAAGGCTTATTTTTGGGAAAACATGGTAAATGCAAACAAGGACAACATTTTTTTTAGCCATAAGTGATAGAGATAGGGGTATTCATATAGGAATTCAAATATTCCCCCACAGGTGCAGATAACGAGGGTCTGGCCCCCTGTGGCCAGACTGACCACTCACGATTCTGCCGCTGCTTCAAGCTCCACACAGCCTTCCTATTGCTCCGCTGCTTGTAATAGATTAAGTCCTGGCAGAAGGTGGGATGACGAGCCTCTCTGCCAGGTCATAGAGTGGCTAATCCATCACGAACAAAAAAGAGCTAGGAAGGCACCGCAGATTTTGCAGCAGTGGTGGAATTGTGAGTGGTCAGCCTGGCCTCGGGGCTGGACGCTCGGTGGAATTGTGAGTGGTCAGCCTGGCCTCAGGGGGCTGGACGCTCGTTGTCTGCACCTACGGGGGGGGGATATTTGAATACGAATACTCCCATCTCTAGTGATAGTTTCAAGTATGAATGATGATTACTGTCATGCATCATCTAATTGAATTTCTTTTCTCCTTTTAATTGAATTAGTTTTCAAGAAGATAAAGGAGTCTGTTTTGCAAAATTTCTTTCGTTGTACAAGTGAAAGACAGTTCAGTCCAGGGATAGGTGAATTGACATTTGGTTGTATATAGAGGGATAGCTGAATGTTATGTATTCCTGTTGCTTTTCTCCCTCCTTGGAAATCTGCATTGAATGTTGATGGACAAAACCAAAATAAGGAAAATAATCAAAGGACAGAAAGCTGCCAGAGAGAAATAATTGTCAGTGTCTGAATCATTTATTTTATGCACTATGTTTATAGTTTTATGCACTACTTTATGCTTCAGAGCTTTCTGGAACACAAAGAAATATGTAAAATGTCTCAAGTGTGTATTATGAATCAATTTCCAATAAAAAGGTGTTTTATAAGTTTATGGAGCAGTAGATTGTAGCATGTTACTTTTAGAGAAATAATGGAAATAAGCTTATAGAATACATTACTGGATCAAAATAAAGCAGTGACTACATCTTAAAGACATCATAGGGTACAGTGGTAAAATTATATATTTCTTGTCTAAATTTAAACAGTTATGATGACAATATACTTTTTCAAGGCAAACACTATGTAGCTGGTTAAACTAGGAAAATGCAATTTTTGCATATTTTAATGTTGTGAATGGGTTTTAATGTTAGTATTTTTATTAACACAGTTGGAGAAGCATATTTACATATGTTTTAATATGTCTCTGAAGAGTGGATTTTATTTCTAAGCAAACTAAATACAATTAGTTCCTTTGAGAATTTTTTCTGCCTGGTTTTTCTCTGAAGGCCAAGAGATATGGATTATGAAAGTCTGTGTAATGAGGTACAGTAGTCCTCAATGGGATAAGGAAGTTGAGAAACCTTGGAAAGTAGACATTCTATTTTTTACAATCATTTCTCCTTTTGAGAAAAATTAAGGATTTAAGTTATAATGATAAATAGGAGGTTGAAGAAGTAAAAAAAAATGAAGTTAGTATTAGTGCAACCTTCAGTGTGGTCATGTTCAGAGACCACATGGTGTCTGTAGGATTATTCTCTCCTATGGTGTCTATAGTACCAATTACTGTTATGATGTTGTCATCACCTTTGGCCAACGGTAAGCCCAAAAGCCTCTTGCAATCCCTCGACACTATTTCTGCATATATTGTATTCATTAAAAAAAATACTCTGAGAAGCTTTTTTTATTCTGAAACCCAATGTTATCCTCTAAGGGGCATGGGAACATTTTTGCTGTGGTTGAGGGGTTCTTGACCCCACTGACCTCCCCAAATCCAACCTTTTTTTAATTGAAAAAGAAAACTACCGACCTCTGCATGATACAAGGGGACTTTTTTCAGTTGAATTCCTCCTGTTTAGTTAAACCCATTTTTCAGCTTAAAAAGCCTAAATGCAGCCCACTTTATAGTACACAACTGCTGCTTTTTTTAAAAAAAGAAAAGAAATTGTGACCCTTAGATTACTGAAAATGACTCTCAGTCCTACTGAGATCATCTGTCTTTGCCTTTAATGATGCATATGTGCTACACCACTACAATTATTAGCTTGGGATTGCATGCTATCCAAGCCACACTTAATGCTAACCATTCTTCTTCCTTAAGCTATATTTGAAGCTAGAGTTTTAAGTTGTTTGGCAAAATTTCCTTAGCTTCTCTGTAGTTAAGAAAAACCTGCATCGGTATTAGTTCTCGCGAACAACCTGCTAATGTCATGAACAATGTACCCTCTGATTTTCAGCCCTGCTGGGTGGGCCTCCACCTCTCTCTCTCTCTCTCTCTCTCTCTCACGACTTCAGCCCTGCGTGTGCATGCGACTCTGCCCCCCCCGGGTTCCGTCGTGTCTGGAACCTAATGCGATCACTACATGGAGGAAGAAAACAGCTGCACACAGGGAGCAGAGACACGCTCATCCAGCTTAGAGGGAACCTTGGAATATTTATAGTCAAAGCTGGTGGGAGAATTCATACTAGGGAGAGTGGTGTTTGGAGAAGTGTTTATTCTGTCATGTTTGTATTTGGTGAAATGGAATATTGGTGGGAGAATTCATACTAGGGAGAGTGGTATTTGGAGAAGTGTTTATTTTGTCATATTTGTATTTGGTGAAATGGAATATTGGCCCAGAAAATGAATTGTAGTGATTATTGGTTTACACACAAGTTTTCTATTTACACGATTATTCATTGTTGTATGATACTTATTTTTGAGACATTTTCTTCTTGCAGTGGGACTAAAGCTAAATTTTGTGGACCCAACAATGAGCATTGATTTAAAATACTTGGGTGTCCAGCTGCCATTAAGTTATTCAGATGACTGTACTATGTGGAAAAACTTAGGCACTGGTTCCATTTCTATTGGTAAGTCAAGATCTGTCTCAGTCCAGTGACGCTTATAGCTTTTGTTACAGAACAAGTCTTTTTTTTAAAAAGAAGATATTTGATATACAGTATTTCTCCTGTGTGGAAGCAGTCTGTGAACATTTCATTGTTAATTCAGCATCATTCACAGAGGTGCTGACTGCAATATTGTAGGACAGTTTTCTAAGGTTAAACTTTTATGGATGTTGTAGCATATGTTAAAACTATTGCTTCCAGTTGCCTTAGATACAGCTAACTTTGCAGATTATTGTTTCCTAAACTCCAAACAGTGTTACCAAGTCATGTTTTCAGGAAGAATTTCATGTATGTGACAGTGTTAGTTTTGTAACTGACTTACGCAGAGAGATGATGATTTTTCTAACTCAAAAATTGAGAAAACATGGCTTTCAGTAATCAGCCTCTGGGCTCAGAACTCTCAGACATTAGGAGTCCCTGTTGAATCTGAGCCTGCAGGCTCCACCTTCTACGAGGTGTGTTGCAATTGGTTTGTTCAGCATCAGTTGACATCAGTTCCATGATGCTCAGGATTGGAGGAAGCTAATTGACTGTATGAAGCTAAGCCTTGTGAATGAACGAAGCCTACTTGCATAGGCAAAGTATGGGGCATTTTGTTCTCTCCTCAGCTATCTCAGCTTCTGTATATAAGATGCACCTCAATTTTTAGTGTCATGATTTTAGGAAAAAGTAGTGTCTTATAACAAAATATGGTAATTTTCTCTAGTTCATTTAGATTATCAGCTGATTACATTGTTTATTTATTACTCTATCTTCTACCCACCCTGGCCCCAGATGCTGGTCTTCCCTTTGTTTCCAGGACAGGAAAGACAAATGATTTCACAAAGATAAAAGGATGGCAAGGAAAGTTGCATAATTCTTCCAAAAATGAAGGTAAGGGGAAAGTTTTAGGTTGTGTTT